TTACGTTCTGAAAGTTTCATTACGATCGTACGTCTAAAAATTAAATTATTCAACAGCAGTCGCCTGCGTCTGTGCATGTATGTGTGTGTGTGCGTTTTTGTACGTGTGTATTGAAATATCAGTTGTTTGAAGGGTTCAGAGGATCTCGTAGTCGAGCAGTCGAGCGACTAGAGCTGTCTTACTAGTTAAATATCGAAATTGAAATTTAGCCATATTAAATAAGAGTTTTTATTATTTTGATTGACAGTAGTATGTAGTCGAGCACTCTCGACTAGAGTTTTTTATACTTGTTTAATAATTGTTTTTTTTTTTTTTAGAACTCGATTAGGCATAATCTATCGCTGCATCATTGCTTTCGCAACCGTAAACGTGAAGAAAAGGGCAAGGGAGGATATTGGGAACTAGGAGTGGATCCAAGAAAATGTGATAGAAAACGGATAAGAAATCGCAAATCAACCAACTCAAAGTCAAACCATTCCTCGCCAGAGACTAAGCACTGTCAAACATTATTAACAAAATGCCAGTTATCCAATTCGAAAAATACCGGAGGTCCTCATGACCGGTCTCCAAACCTCTCATCATATTATATGGTAAACGAGAAGGCACAAATATCTAGCCCTAACAATAATAGTGCTGAACAAGATGTACAATTGGGTTCCCTGACCGTAACTGAAGTAGAGTTAAGCCTAGGTGATGGGCTGACATTATCAAACTGTTCACACGATCATGACGCCACTTTTCTATACCCAGATACTTCGTTCATCCGTTCAAATAATGAAGCTATTCTACCGCAACAATGTGAGCTAGGCACCATTATAATTAGCACCACGGGTATTATCGATAACCCATCATGCCTAAATAGTATAATCAATAATAAGTTGGGCTGTTCTAGTATGGTGAGATTAATATTTAATGATATTATTAATAATAGTCTTTATATATTTATAATTTTATTATAATTATTATCTTTATTTAGATCTATACCGAGGATGAGATTACAACAGCTAGTGAGAATGTTATATCGCCAAATAAAATGGATTCCAATATAGAAACTAATATAAAATTGATAGCACCTACCACCTCCAACTCTGAGATCACGAGCAGCGTTACCATTAATTATGACTGCTCCAATTTTCGACCATACATTGACTGCATTGACGAGTCATATAATTACCTACATAGCAATGAGTTAAATCGCAATGATGATATTTTAGATAACCTTCTGGACGTCTGTCCTAGAGAATATTGAATGACAAATATCGCCAAATAAAAATGTAAACTTCTTTTAATACAGCGATCAGTTGACTTCATTTTATTTACGAATGAACTTAACTTGAAAACGGACACTTACCTAAAATCACCAATTATAGAGCTAATCAAATGCTAAAAGATTCGCTATTCGTCAAAATAAACAAATAAGAAGGCTCTAGTCGAGACTGCTCGACTGGGAGATACCCTGAACCCTCCAAGCTGATATTTTAATTATTCTGTACTTCATTTATGCACATATACATACATACACATGCATCCGCACGCACGTATAAAAACACG